ATCCCTCTGTAGTTGTTACAACTCTGTGCATCACCCTTCTTATGAATTGGCACCAGGACACTTTTTCTCCACTCATCAGGCATCTTGCCAGTCTCTAAAATTCTGTTAAACAAACCAGTCAGGAAATTTACTGCCACTTCTCCTAAACACTTCCATACTTCCACTGGTATGTCATCAGGACCAACTGACTTTCCACTCTTCATCCTCTTCAGGGCTTTTCTAACTTCATCCTTTCTAACCTGATCTACCTTCTTCCTACTAGTCTCTGGTTCCTCGTTTCTACTTTCCCTTTCATTTTCCTCATTTAACAACTCCTCAAAGTATTCCTTCCATCTTCTCAGCACACTTTCCTCACTTGTGATCACATTCCCCTCTCTGTCCTTAATCAACCTCACCTGCTGCACATCCTTCCCAGCTTGATTTCTCTGTCTCGCCAATCTATACAACTCCTTTTCTCCTTCCTTTGTTTCCAAACTCTCATACAACTCCTCATATGCCTTTTGTTTGGCCTTGGCCACTTCCCTCTTCACCTCCCTTGTCCTCTCTTTGTACTCCAGTCTGTTCTCTTCTGTTCTGTCACTGTCCCATCTCTTCTTCTCTAATCTCTTTCTCTGCACACTCTCCTGGATCTCCTCATTCCACCACCAGGTCTCTTTGTCCTCCTTTCTCTGCCCAGAGGACAGACCTAGCACCTTCCTACCTGTCTCCCTAATCACTGCAGCTGTAGTCTCCCAATCATCTGGGAATTTCTCAACACTACCCAGAACTGCCCGTACTTCCTTCCTGAAGTCTTCACAACATTCCTCTTTCCTTAGTTTCCACCACTTGATCTTTTGCTCTGTCTTCACTCTCTTCCTTCCTTAGGATCCGTTGATTATAGAATCAACCATTGTTTTTAATAAATGTATTTTTAATTTCACTTTTAGTTATTTTATGTTTGATTAAATGTATAAATCCAAAAAACATACAAAAGGTTAGTGTGACGCCTGGTGGAAGGATTGCGTATTACAGCTGGTGTTACACAGCCAGTTCAGTGTTAATTTTCTGTGGCAGAGTGAAGTCAAATAAAAAACCTGTTCCATATGCAGTATTACCTATAGCTCTTGATACTGCGTATGTGCCATTAACACGCCAGCAGCCCATGAAGGTGATGCAGCCTCCAAGGTCCTCGATTCTCTGTTTCTCATCCTGGACAGCAGGAGAGACAACAACACAGACGTTAAAACAACCTTCACATCACTGCCAGTCACATTTGCCGTCCTACTGTAGTCTGTGTGACAAATTGGTTCAGTCAGAAAAGTGCATCCCATGAATCAGCAGTAGAAAATTTAAAGTTTGAAATGTTCCTGCCACATCCTTAAAATAAATCAAACTTAATAAAGCCCAGCTGTTGTTCAAACCAGAGGAAGTTACTTGGAAGAAAGGGAGTCTAGTAAATAAAACTGTTTATTAACTGCTAATTATGGAAACATGTGACCTAAAGAATCACTCTTTATAACACAATCATTTTGATTTTGTTTTCAAAGTATTCCAACTATAATCCTTTTGCAAAAATGTGACCTTGCTTCTCACGTTTTGGCCTCAGTGTACAGTATGTGTTCCTGAGTTGTAATTGAAGTAACTAAATACTGGGATACAGTACTCTTCTTCTGCCCCACAAATGATATCCTTCATAAAAATGACAGATGAAGGCAAAACCAAAAATAGTTGTTTTAAAAAGACAATTGTCTTTATTGACAACTATAAAATAATTTTGTAACATAACATAATTGTATTAAATCAATAACATATGCTACATCATGTAAAGTAATTATTGACTATGATTGATTTTGTCAAGTTGCTAAATAAATAAAAGCAGTACATTCTCTTTAATTGACAATATATTACTACACACATACATTTGTGTACAGTTAAGACATGGGAAAAAATGTTATCTGTCAATTTTTGGGAGGGGGGTTGCTTGTCCTTTTGGGACATTACAGGCCCCCACTAAAGTTGAGCGAATACTGAGATTAAGATTTTTACCCTCAGTACCATCATAATTAAGATTAGGCATACATTAGTAATGGTTAGGATCAGGGTAAGGAGTTAGGAAATGCATTATGTTTTTGTGAAGTACTATAATCTCATGAAACGTGTGGTAGATGTGTCCTTACCTCTCTCTCTGGTTTATGGGGATCCATGAGTGTTACATCTTGTCCGTTCCGTACCAGCATTGCCTGAGAGTCTCCAAGCCAGGACACAGTCAGCTCCTGACCCTGAATCAGCACAGCCACACCTGTGCTGCCGCTGCGCAAGCGCTAATGGCAGACATATGAAATAATTTAAATTATTTTGCAACCTGGCATCTTGGAACAATCGAAAACACTGAACACTCATTGACTTAAATTGAGCAAAACAAAGAAAACACACTTTGAATTTATGTTAAATGTAAAAAAAAAGTATGATAAAACAGAAGAGCTGGAGGAAGTGTCGAGGGAGAGGGAAGTCTGGGTGTCCCTGCTCAGACTGTTGCCCCCGCGACCCGGCCCCGGATAAGCGGTTGATGATGGATGGATGGATGGATGATAAAACAAATAATTTAAAGTAATTATTTTGTCTAATGTAATATTCGTGTTGAAGTTGCGTCTGTACCTCTCTCTTTGCTTTGAGCCTGAACATATCATCGGTGAGTTTAAAGGCAGTTTTAAAAGCTGTGGCTGCATCACTCTGCAGTGTTTCCTGTTTGCTCAGAGCTACATGGAGGTGGGTGACAGTGTAGGTGGCAGCATCCACGCCTCCGTGTCCGTCAAAAACAGCATAGTAAGCACGATCCACTCCGTCCTGCACAAGGGTGAAGAAAAAGGAAACGGCTATCAAATATCTGATGTTTGTATTTGTTGTTATTCTATTTTCATTACAAGTTCAAACATCACATGGGAATAGTGAATGGTGCCAACTGGAGGGCAAAAGCCTTTGACAGTGTGACATGTGTACAATGTGCTCCAGCAGGGGGCACTACAAGAGTGGCTTGATACCTGATCACAAAAGACACCAGAGCATAAATGAAAATAAATATAGATGAGTTTTAAGATTTCCACAGAATCAAATCTAATAAAGATCATGTGCACGCTGTGGTGTGACAGACCAACTTTTAAACATGCTGCTCACTAAGTCAAAAACTATGGTTAGGCCTCCTGACACCTATTTCTGAACCACAAAAACTCAGGAATAAAACATGATTATTTCACACACTTGTGGAATATTGCTGCCACTAATGCTGCCATTAAATTATTAAATTTCAAAAGCTTAAAAAAACAATCCTGTACCTTGATCCCAAAAAGCTGGTTGAACTCAGGCAGGGCCAAGTGTTTGTCTTCCATCTTTCTCCTGGAATTTTTGATGGCATGGACTGAGCAAGGCCGAAGCTGAGGATGGTACAACAGAGGCTGGAGGGCCTTTTGATGCCAGAACAGGGCCACTCCTATTAGCTTGTTGAGGAAAAGACGTTGGACTGCCCCTGACTCCAGCACTAATAGCGAAACAAAACAGCAAAAGTAGAAAAATAGTAAAAGTAAGACAAATACATTTTTGTATTGATGCACAAAAGGAAAGGAAAGTGAACTCCTTGTCATTGTCACACAGCACACCACTGCACACAACCAAATGTGACCTCTGTCTTTAACCCATCACCAAAGTTAACAGTGTGCAGCTTTAAACACCCGGAGAGCAGTGTGTGGGGATGGTGCCATGCTCACAGCACCTCAGTTGTAACTTGGCAGATGGTGGACTTGAACCTGAAGCCTTCTGGACACAATTCTGCTTCCTTAACCACTAAGCCACCGCCCCCAAAAGGGCGTGCACCTCACTGAGTGACATGACAATGTTGAGTTTCAAGGAAGTAAAGGACATTGAATATACATGATGAGGCAGACAGACTTACAAATGACTTTTCCTTCTTCCTCCTCATCCCCATCATTGTCCTGTGGGCAGGAGAAAGGTGAAAGGTCATCTTGGAGCAGTTTGGAGAGCGCTGCCTGACACAAGAGGGCGCTGAAAACCGTAGGAGCGCCTCTAAAATAAACAAGCAGAAACTGTGGTAATTTGTCAAAGATCACACAACACTTAATTCAACAATCCTGTGCATATATATCCTATTTATGGAATACCATAAGAAAACAAACCCCACATATGACTGTGAGATAAACTCACAGTAATTTAATTTTGTGCTGCACATAAATGAACACAAAGAGGGATAACAAGAAATTATTCTGTTTATTTTATTTTTATATTTATTTAACCTTTATTTAGCCAGGCAAGGCATTAAGAACAGTTTTTTATTTTGAATAGCAGCCTGGCAAAAGGCAAAGCCTCTCAAGGGGAGGGAGTGTAAAGAAACAAACAAATAAAACAAACAGGAATAAATAAATTCAAATTTTTATTCAACTTTGTTCCTAATTTTGATTCAGCCCAGAAATATATCATCCTCACTTAAAAAATAACTTGGAAGAAGGTCTGATAACTTTGGTTATAATAAACATTACAGCAGGTATGAGGTATGAGTTTTCACTATAAAACTCAAGAGACCACTGAATGTTTTCTGCTTTCAATCGTCTAATCTGGATCTTTGTATTAACAGCTATCCTAAGTGGTTCTGTTTAGAACAGTCGGATTAAATACCTGCATCAACATGTCAAAATATGTTATTGATGTGTTTTTGGATTAAATATACTTAAGAAACATTTAGAGACTAATAAGGAAATAATTATACTTTTTTGGCCAATCTTAGAGTGTCCTGTTATAGGAAATGTGCTGTTTTGTTTCAATGATAACAATAATAAGTTAGTATTCAAGACACAGTATTCACAGCTTTTCTGCTTGGGTTTTCTTCCACATATCAGTTACATAACATCAACACTGTCCTAAAAAATCAACTGCTGTAATTCTGGGGAAAAGAATGATCGCAGTTCACATTTTGTCAACAACAGTTGCTCTGTCCACACCAGCAAACATACTGAATGACTGAGACAAGAGAAGAACTGTCAGGAATGAGAGGAATGTGCCTGTGTCTGTGCATGTGAGTGTTCTTACACAGACACAAGTTAGTACAAAATGCAAATAGAACAGAGCAGCCATGCACTGACTGACTATTTCACCACTCCGTGTGTTTTCATCAGATGGTTTAAATGTGCATTTGTACATTTAAATTTGTAAATTTGTCTCATCAATAAAAAAAACTAATTTAGGCCAGAAAGTGATAAATAATTCCTCCTTTTCCTGTGGCATCAAGTACTTGGTGTCATCTACAGCTCATCTTTGAAGATACTTCATCTGAAATGCAAATATACTTCTCTGCTTCCTATCATTTCTCTATCATGTAGACCTCTGATGTTCAGAAAGGACAGGTATTTGATCATTGCTTGTCGATACACAGGCCTTTGCTGAAAAGATACTTAAGGACTGTATTCATGTTTCTCTTACAAATGTGGTTACAACTTCCTGTGACTGCTGACTCTGTAACTTTGGGTCATACCTGACAGCCAGCAGCCTGAGGCCCAGATCTAGACTTTCTCCAGGCAGCTCATCCATCGTGACTTTTCGGCTCAGAGGTGTCACAGGTAGTGGACTGTTTTCCCCTAAGGCAGCAGGGAACTCTTCTACAAACTTCTCCAGGAAGCTCCTGGCTTCCTCATCCATCCTGCTTGTGCTGGCTAAATCAAGCTCTCAAGTTAACAGGAGGTCACAGGGCTGAAATTAAGATGAAGGTTCCTGGAAAATGGAGAGAAAAACAATACATACTGTTTGACTGATTTGTGGCAGATCTTAGACAAAGAAATTTGATTTCCTCTTCCACATATGTTATCATGTAATCATTATTCAGTCAGATGAAATTACCATTTAAATGAACTATGTTAAATGTAATCATAACCCTGGAAAGTTTAAGGCTGAACAAAAATTGGTTCTAGTAAAAATGTTACTTAAAAGTAATAAATAAATAAATATAAAAAATCAT